ACCAAGACTATTATAAAGTTTATGAATAAGAGTAGGAGTCATGGAACACCTGGGGAATGAAAGGTAAGTGAATTTGAGCTAAGGAAGGGGAGGGTGTAGATGCAGTCCTTAGAACTAAACATCACAGCACCTCTTTTGAATTCCCTCAAGACCATGGAATGAAAGAAAATTGAGGGTGGTGGAGCGCACGCAAGCCAGAGGTGTCAGCTGCCAACCATTTCTATTTCTGGTCATACCCGGCACGGAAATGGTGAGGGGAGGCGGGAGGGGAAGGGGGTTGATAGTGAAGGGATAGAGGATGGAGGGAGGAGAATGGGGAGATGTGCGCACCAGGTGCTGGTGTTTTGCACCAATTACTTCAGTTTCCTCTCGGCTCTTCGTTCCAGTGGTGGTATTTTTTTTTTTCTTTGGTCAGTACCGGAGCAGTTTCTTTTGATACGAATATTAAGTCATATGATGACCAGCTCCGTAGCGCTTTTTGTCATATGCACTAGGCTTTACGAGTAACCTCAACTGAAGGAAAACATTGAAGTTGGCATAACTACTCAACCCGTAGTAGTATGCCTAATGATATCTGCATCGCCTAACTGAAATTTCCCAGCTCAAGCTGGAAAAAAATCACTTAGGTGATGACTATGGCCAGTAATTTTCTATCATCAGATGATACAAAATTACTGGGTATAGTCACCAACTCAGGCTGAAATATTTCATTAGCTTTTATGAAATCCATTTTGTATGATATGACATGAAAAATATTGTAAATATGTTTTCCCACTAATTCCTACATATGTGTAGGCACACAGCAGATTACTAGATTTAGTAAATTTAATAATTAGTCGGTATGACCCTCTTAGCTGAGATTAATGTTTTGGGACCGAAATATTACCACTTCACTGTAAATAAGCAGATGTTTCCAAAAATTTCAGTCTGGCTAAGTGTAGCACACGAGATGAAGTCCGGGCATGTACACAGACCGCAGCCAAACACATGTGAGCCACGAGATGGAGCCAGGGCAGGTACAAAGACCGCAGCCAAACACATGTGAGCCACGAGATAGAGCCAGAGCATGTACACAGACTACAAACACATGTGAGCCACAAGGGTGTCAAAGTTTTTTTCTTTTTTTTTTACCTCATGAGGTAAGTTGCAAAAAGTAAATGAAAGAGGAAGGCAAATACCATAGAGTTTCAAATCTACGATCAGGCCCTGAGGCTATAAATACGTAAAGCTGGTCGACAAGAGTCAAGAGGCGAGGCCAGTTACCTAAGGAAGGTGACAGAAACGACAATTCAGTATTTACTTCGGAATGTTGACCCCCTTCAACTGGGGTGCCATGATGCCGGTGAAGGGCTCTTGATCCAGGAAACTTGATTCAATTTGACCGTCTCCAATTCCTCAAGTGCTATGGGGGTTTAGCGCTTTCCCGCGAGTACAGTAACAATCCGGAATGTTAAACCTCTGCACAAGCATATTTTGGTTACACCAAAGAGGTATTCAGTGAAACCTTGTCCAGCTGGTTCACCCTGACACTGCCAGAGGTCATTTTCTTTTTTTCTCTCCAGAAACAATGTAAGATTACCGAGCTACTCAAGACGATTTGACACTAGTGACCAGCAGTGGCAGAGTTAATGTGATAAAATTCAACATAGTTTTCCCTGCTTAAGATTCAAACACTATGCACATTAGGAACTGTGTGTATTTACACCACCAGATATAATTAACATCTAAAGTTACAGACAGGCAGAAAACTCCAGGGGAAAGGTAGATACAAGATTTTTCCAGTTCACATGGAGGCTATCTATTGAGAAGATTTAGTTACAGTTCGTATTGAATTTTACTCAAGGTCTACATCTATACTGCCTGCTTCGTTGTAGACGACAGCTATCTAAAAACTGGAAAGTGATCTAAAACAAAGCAATGAGAGTCACGCTGGAGGCACTACGATGGGCCAGTCCTTTCTACATACATGACAGAGTTGGTATGTAAGTACCGAGCTTAATGGGCCAATATACACCATCTTCATATTGTGAAATGATGATTCAGGAAGGACCGAAACGTAGTTCCGAGTTTCCTCTCCAGAGTGTAGGTTAATTGAGTAGATCTCTTCCGGAAATAAAATGAGGTGTAAGCCAAACTCAATAAAATGCTACTACTGAGGCAGGAGGTATTCCCCAATGAAGGTGGTAAACTTACAGAGGTTTCCACCAGTGAGGGTGGAAACATATACGTATAGAACTTATGAAGGTTTGGTCTGGAAGACATAAATAGAACGCAGACATGCCAATCCCACCATTATGTGCTTAGCACATTTTTAATTGTCTGTCCTCCATGGAGACTACTGGAGGCACGATGTATCTCGATTTTATTGCACCAGCTACCAATATACTCTATCTACCCGGACAGTAGGTGTAAGAAGACTCATACCTCACGTGCCACACAGAAAATGAGCTGAACGGTGTAACGCTGAGCCATATGTGATTCTTAGATCGCTTACTGCCACTATTTGATAGTCACTAGTAGTTAGGAAACTACTGGGTTACATGACTTACGAAATCGTAATGACACGATTGCAAACAAACCATACCACGGGCGGGATTTGAACCCGCGACGGTCTGGAATTTTGAGACTGACCGCGGGTTCAAATCCCGCCCGTGGTATGGTTTTTTTTACTGGGTTACAGTACGTTTCCGTGAGACGTACATAAGTAGCCTAGGGGGTATCGTTGCTACTGCAGCAGGGACATGGTACTACCCATTCCACAACAGTTCACTGTCAATACTACCACCATTTTTTTGTTAAATATAAGATCAATTTAATACTGAATTTTGTGATCCTACGTGCATAACTCTCCTTCTGTAACCTCAAAGATAACTACTACTCCCGATGCTGTTCTTGAGTGTAGTTACCTTCACCCTCAGGAACAGACAGCATGTTCAAAATATATTAGACCACACTAGTGGACCAATATCACCGAGACAATACAAATCTGGTGTCAAGACCACACTGATGGACCAGCATCAGGATAATATAATATAATATAATATAATATAATATAATATATATATATATATATATATATAATATATATATATATATATATATATATATATATATATATATATATATACATACATACAGTGGTGAACAGGTTGCGTGTGGTCGATAGGTTGTAAACCAAATTAGCTAACGCATGAAAATAAGTCTTGAATCGCCTTAGTGACCTTGATCTATAATTTGCCCTCGCGTGTAGTTTCGAGAACTACTTACGTGCTATGTTCGAAGCAACATCACACCCAAACTTGGCACGGATTCAATAAGTTACTTTGGAATGCTGGCTCAGACAAAACTCGCAAATAGAAATTAGCTGATTTATTCTCAATCAGAAATTTCATGCTTTATACAAAAAAAATCGCAGTTATTTCTCATTTAATCCCGACTACTGCTTCTTCCAGTCTCCACGAGACATTTTTGGGGAAGATTTTTTTTATCATAAAAATGTGGGGACTTACGGATCCACTTAGACAATATTAGGCGTCAGAAATCCTTAATTATCTTACTCCCAGGAATTCCAGAAACTAATGGTTAGTAAAACTACAGTAAGCATACTACAAAATCTAGGTAATGATCTAATTTTATTTTAATAAGAGCTACTATTGTCTAGAAAGTTCTCCTACCTCTTCTTTATTTCTCTTCTCTTTCTCTCTCTCATGTTCCTGCTCACCCTTGCCCATTTCTGCTGGTGCCGGCGCCCCTGGTCCCAAAATACCCACGGGCAGCGGACATTAGCTGGCAGCCGGGGCGCCCTTGGGCAAATTTACTGTAGTGAGTATCATTTTTTTTTTGTTAAGATGAACCTATTATGGTTATTTGTTTACAGTTGTGAATGGCAGCCATTAAGGAAATCCAGCTCCACCAATCACGCTGCTGCTTACAATATTCTTCAACTACGATGCTGCTTATAACAGCTTTCACTTGCCAAGCTGGTTTATAATAACCTCAGCGATAATCTTGCAGCAGCTTAAAATATTTTCCACCAATGACACTGCTGTTTACACTATTCTCCGCCAATCACGCTGCTGCTTATAATATTCTCCACCAACCACACTCATACGCTTACAATATTCTCCGCCAATCACGCTGCTGCTTACAATATTCTCCACCAATCACGCTGCTGCTTACAATATTCACCAATCACGCTGCGGCCAACAGTATCGTTCACTAATCGCATTCCAGCTTGCATTATCTTCCACCAATCATGCTTCAGCTTACACTCTGATACTCCAATCACACTACACCTTACAGTACGGTCCACCAGTTAAGGTACAGGTTACAAATCTTTCAGTTCTGCGCAGTTTACAATAGTGTAACAATAAGACTGCAGTTTACAGTATCGTTAATCATTGACGTGTATATAACGTTCTCCAATCACCTTGTTGCTTCATGTAACCATCCTCCAATCACGAGCCTTGGAAGGTATTTGTATATGGTGTATAGCTTTTACCTTGAAGTATATTATATACTTATAGCATTTCATATATTATTCTCCTGAGTTATTCTTGAGCATACTGCTAATAAATGTAAAGTTCTCTTTGAGATCATGGACTCAATCTTCTTTTTCAGTTTTTAGCTTTATTCTCACAGGACCAAGGTTTTTTTTTTCACATGCTAGGAGATATTTTTTTTTCACGGATCTTAAGAGTGAAAAATTTTCTCACGGATGCTAGGAGTGAAGATTTTTTTTTTTTTCACGGATGTCAGGGGGTCAAGATTTTTTTAATTTTTTTTTACGGTGTTACGAGTGAAGATTATTTTAGCCGATAAAAAATATTTCTCGATTCGAGTTGTCTTTTTTGTGTGTAATGTATATCAACCACTCGCTTGTCACTGAAGGCAGCAAATATTCTGACGACTTGACCGGCTGATCCAAGGGGCTCCTGGGTCACCACTTGTCCTCTTGAAGACGCCAGCCACCCTCTTGAAGGGCAACCTTAAATACTTACCTAAAGAGGTTGGGCTAGAGCGACGCGGGTGGCGTGTGCAGTCAATTCGCCCAAAGCACTGACTGTAGATCCTCCCAGTGCCTCTCTTACGCTCTAACTTCTCCCCGCCTCTCCCATTGGTCCCTTGGGTCACGTGACGGGGCCCCACACTGCTCTGTGATTGGGTGGGTTGAGCGGTCACGTCACACGGCCAAAGTTAGCGGGTGATTGGTGGAGGGGGAGTCACGTGACCCGCCGCCATCACTTGCCCAAATAGGAGGGGGCCAGGCGCTCCCCTGTGCCCAGACCTGAATACTGTTACTTCAACTGCTAACTCTAGCTCTTGCTAGTCTTTTAGATCTTGCTAGCTTTCTAGCTCTTGTTAACTCTAACTCTTGTTAGCTTTTTAGCTTTTGTTAGCTTTACAACTCTTCGTTAGTTTTCTAGCTCTTGTTAACTTTCTAGCTCTTGTTAACTTTCTAGCTCTTGTTAACTTTCTAGCTCTTGTTAACTTTCTAGCTCTTGTTAACTTTCTAGCTCTTGTTAACTGTCTAGCTCTTGTTAACTTTCTAGCCCTTGTTAACTCTAACTCTTGTTAACTTTATAGCTTTTGCTTGCTTTCTAGTTTTCGTTAACTCTCAAGGTCTTGTTAACTCCCTAGCTCTTGTTAATTATCTAACTCTTGGTAACTTTCTAGTTTGTGTTAGCTTTCTAGCTTTTGTTAACTTTTTCACTCTTGTTAATTTTCTAACTGTTAAATTTCTAAATTTTTGTTAACTTTCTACCTCCTGTTACTGTGTAACGTTGTAAATGGTCCCAGTTGGACCCAAACATCGCCATAACCTTCTCTCTGCTATTGTCTGGTTATTTGGGTATTGTTCCAGTCACGGTATTGTGCCTATTTGTTCTTTAGGAAAAAAATAATAATCTGGCAATCAGAGAATACAGATCCAGATTTATGTAATAAATACACTCATTCTTACTTAATTCCTGTCATTCATCTCATAATGTATGTCATCAACTTATGTGTTTGTTTCTCATTTCCATATATTTCAAGTTTTCTCGTTCCTAGAGTTTCCTTCGCTACGTTTTCTTCCTTCAAAGGAACACACACGCACGCCAGGAGCTATGAATCGACCCCTGCAACCACATATAGGTGAACACACACAGGGAGAGTGGACCTAGTAGCGACCAGTGAAGAGGCGGGGCCAGGAGCTGTGACTCGACCCCTGCAACCACAGTTACGTGAGCACACACACGCCCACACATACGCCCACACATACGCCCACACACACGCCCACACGCACGCCTACACACGCCCACTCACCCATACTCTAATTTGGTATGGACTTAAGATAGACAGGCAGCAACCACTACCCAAAAATATTTTGCTCAGTACGGAAGTGATTAGAAAGTCCAGCCTGGCCTGGCACCCTCCCTACAGAGCCACCCTAACCCTGGCACCCTCCCTACAGAGCCACCCTAACCCTGGCACCCTCCTTACAGAGCCACCCTAACCCTGGCACCCTCCCTACAGAGCCACCCTAACCCTGGCACCCTCCCTACAGAGCCACCCTAACCCTGGCACCCTCCCTACAGAGCCACCCTAACCCTGGCACCCTCCCTACAGAGCCACCCTAACCCTGGCACCCTCCCTACAGAGCCACTCTTCCTACAGACTCACCCTAACCCTGGCACTCTCCCTACAGAGCCACCCTAACCCTGGCACCCTCCCTACAGAGCCACTCTTCCTACAGACTCACCCTAACCATGGCACTCTCCCTACAGAGCCACCCTTCCTACAGATTCACCCTAACCCTGGCACCCTCCTTAGAGAGCTACCCTGCCAGAGCACTCTCAGCTTAACACCTATAAATATGCATCAGCTTCTGTCAATAGGTCTGATAGCAGTAGCTTGGTAGACAGCAGCTATCCAGGGAAGTACTACCCACCAGATATCCTTCTGCTCTCCAGAAGCCTGTTAAAAGTTTTGCACCCTGGCAGTCATCCAGGAAGCACTACTGCCCTGGTACCTATATGAAACAGAAGCCTGTCAAAAGTTTTGTACTATGGTAATAGGCTGGTTGACAGCAACCATTAAGTACTACCGTTCTGTCATGTGTATGTGAAACAGGAGTCTGTTAAAAGTTGTAAACTCTGGTAGTAGGCTCTGTAATTGGAATGTAAAACGGAAGCCTGTTAAACGTTCTTCACTATTGCAGAATTGCTGATCATAATTTTCCTTCCGTTTAATAAATATGTATGACAGGTAAATTTCTACAAATTTATACTTAAAATCATTATACACTTCACTTTCCCATTTCGTAATGCAGTACTTCCTATTCCTGTAACATTTCCTTACCACGTCAAGAGGACTGGTCTGAGACCAGGTCACGGGGGCCATGATCTCCAGGGACCTTTTACAAAAATCGTCTTCTCGTTTTATAAATCTCTGTGTAAACACTTGGATCATCTGTGTTAAAATCCACCTCTGCATTTCCACAATTTTTTTTATGTAAATGAAAGAATCATCTTTAATCTGCTATTTTTATTAAAGAAATATACATCTTTAGTAGGCTGCTTCCCTCTTCTTTATAATAGTTAAATTGTGAGGAAGACAAGCTAAATGATAGTTACATTGTGAGGAAGACAAGCTAAATGATAGTTACATTGTAAGGAAGACAAGCTAAATGATAGTTACATTGTAAGGAAGACAAGCTAAATGATAGTTACATTGTAAGGAAGACAAGCTAAATGATAGTTACATTGTGAGGAAGACAAGCTAAATGATAGTTACATTGTGAGGAAGACAAGCTAAATGATAGTTACATTGTAAGGAAGACAAGCTAAATGATAGTTACATTGTAAGGAAGACAAGCTAAATGATAGTTACATTGTAAGGAAGACAAGCTAAATGATAGTTACATTGTGAGGAAGACAAGCTAAATGATAGTTACATTGTAAGGAAGACAAGCTAAATGATAGTTACATTTTGAGGAAGACAAGCTAAATGATAGTTACATTGTGAGGAAGACAAGCTAAATGATAGTTACATTGTGAGGAAGACAAGCTAAATGATAGTTACATTGTAAGGAAGACAAGCTAAATGATAGTTGCATTGCAAGGAAGACAAGCTAAATGATAGTTACATTGCAAGGAAGACAAGCTAAATGATAGTTGCATTGTAAGGAAGACAAGCTAAATGATAGTTACATTGCAAGGAAGACAAGCTAAATGATAGTTACATTGTGAGGAAGACAAGCTAAATGATAGTTACATTGTGAGGAAGACAAGCTAAATGATAGTTACGTTGTAAGGAAGACAAGCAAATGATAGTTACATTGTTGTGAGGAAGACAAGCTAAATGATAATTACATTGTGAGGAAGACAAGCTAAATGATAGTTACATTGTGAGGAAGATAAGCTAAATGATAGTTACATTGTAAGGAAGACAAACTAAATGATAGTTACATTGTGAGGAAGACAAGCTAAATGATAGTTACATTGTGAGGAAGACAAGCTAAATGATAGTTACATTGTGAGGAAGACAAGCTAAATATTTGATAGTTACATTGTAAGGAAGACAAGCTAAATGATTGTTACATTGTGAGGAAGACAAGCTAAATGTTTTTCCTGTCACATTCCATTACTCAGGATAGATTGCATACAGTAAGCAATGAAATTTCTCAGCCTTGTTAGCAGACTTCAGCAGGTTATTCCACCTTGGGTTCATCAGCAACGGAATCTGCAAAGATTTCCCTCCAGCAGATTTTGGAGTTACTATACCATCTCAGGACAGCCTGCCTATACAATACGTATTTATTTATTTATTTATTTATTTAGTAATTTAAGCATACAAACAGAGGTACAAAAAATACAGGTAAGAGCAGCATGCCAAAGCCACTTATATGCATAGCATTACGGGCTGGCTTAAAATTAACTTAAGATTAACTTAGCAATGATGAAATCAGTGATAAAACATTATTGTAAACAGATAACTATAAAGCACAAATGAGTATTACAAAGACAGGTCATATGGTTGCTTGCATTGCTGTACATTCAGTCGAATGGAGTATTCTGTTAGGTCTGTTAGATTGGGTCCTAGGTTTAACATTTGTGTGATATAATTGTGAGTAACATATAGGACATACAATTTATAAGGTTCAGTTATTCAGTATTTATTTGGTTTTGAGTGAGTAAGTGATCTTTGAGAAGAGACTTGAATTTATAAACAGGTAGTGTTTCTTTTATATTTACAGGTAATGAATTCCAGATTTTAGGGCCTTTTATGTGCATTGAGTTTTTGCATAGCGTGAGATGGACACGAGGAACATCAAAGAGTGATCTGTGCCTTGTGTTATGGTCATGTGTTCTGTTGAGGTTGGCAAGGAGATGTTTGAGGGGAGGGTTAATATCAGAGTTAAGTGTTCTATGTATGTAATAGGTGCAATAATAAGTATGGATGTTTTGTATGGTGAGTAGGTTGAGTGTTTTGAATATTGGTGGAGTGTGTTGCCTGTAGTGAGAATTTGTTATCATTCTAACTGCAGCCTTTTGTTGGGTAATTAGTGGTCTGAGATGGTTAATTGTTGTTGAGCCCCATGCACAAATTCCATAGGTGAGATAGGGGTAAATAAGAGAGTGATAAAGGGCCAGGAGGGCTGACTGTGGAACATAGTACCGTATCTTCGATAGTATGCCTACAGTCTTGGAGATTTTCTTAGAAATTTGTTGTATATGTGTATGAAATTTGAGTCTATTATCGAGGTGGATTCCTAGGAATTTTAGCAACATTATATGCGTCACGTTTCCCTGTCATATTCAGTCATACAGGCAGGGTCACATGGTATTAAAATCTGTCAGCCTAAGCTAGGAGACTTCATTAAGGCGATAAGGATATCACAGAAGTGGAGAGATATGTGTGTGTGTGTTTATCATAGAAATCAGAGGAAGAGAGGAACTACCTATGTAAGACTTGTCAAGACCAGTAGATTTCCTTGACTGTAAATAACCTCACCCTCCCTGGCTCCTAAATGCAGATGGGATGAAACCTTTCAGTCTCTAGAAGCTATTGAATTCATAGTGAAAGACTTGACGATACAATCATTGTCCAGTGGAAGTCTCCCAGCTTAGACTAACACATTGCATTTTCTCGAGTATAAACCGTCATCGTCCTGTTTCCTGACAAACCTTACCTAACCTAACCTGTCTACCTGTCATAGATTTTGTTCCTTCCCCTCCAGAACAACTGTTGGAGCGTGGCAGCCTGCTATGTTCTGAAATATCCTTCTGGGGTCTTTCCTGGACTTTTTGTACTGTACTGTATGAGTTGGATGAGGGTGAGGTATTGGCGTATTTGAGCCGGGTATTGTATGGTTGTGTAGCAATGTGGTGTGGTAGTGTGGTTGGATGGCAGTGGTGTGGTAGAATGATTGGATGGCAGTAGTGAGGTATTGTGGTTGGATGGTGGTAGTGTGGTTGAATGGCGGTAGTGTGGTTGGATGGCGGTGGTGTAGTTGGATGGCAGTGGTGTGGTAGTGTGGTTGGATGGCGGTGGTGTGGTAGTGTGGTTGGATGGCGGTGGTGTGGTTGAATGGCAGTTGTGTGGTAGTGTGGTTAGATTGTGGTAGTGCGGTTGGATGGCGGTGGTGTGGTAGTGTGGTTGGATGGCAGTGGTGTGGTAGTGTGCTTGGATGGCGGTAGTGTGGTTGAATGGCAGTGGTGTGGTAGTGTGGTTAGACTGTGGTAGTGCGGTTGGATGGCAGTGGTGTGGTTGGATGGCAGTGGTGTGGTAGTGTGGTTGGATGGCAGTGGTGTGGTAGTGTGGTTGGATGGCGGTGGTGTGGTATACCTGGAGTATACCTGGAGAGAGTTCCGGGGGTCAACGCCCCCGTGGCCCGGTCTGTGACCAGGTCTCATGGTGGATCAGAGCCCGATCAACCAGGCTGTTACTGTTGGCCGCACGCAACCCGACGCACAAACCACAGCCCGGCTGGTCAGGTACTGATTTTAGGTGCCTGTGGTAGTGTGCTTGGATGACGGTGGTGTGGTTGGATGGCGGTAGTGTGGTTGGATGGCGGTGGTGTGCTTGGATGGCGGTGGTGTGGTAGTGTACTTGGATAGCGGTAGTGGGGTTGGATGGCGGTGGTGTGGTTGAATGGCGGTGGTGTGGTTGGATGGTGGTGATATGGAAGTGTGGTAGCGTGGTTGTACTAGTGTGGTGGTGTGGTTGGATGGTGGTGGTATGGCAGTGTGGTAGCATGGTTAGTATAGTAGTGCTGTGGTGTGGTTGGATGGTGGTGGTGTGGTAGTGTGGTTGTGGTAGTATGGTGGTGTGGTTGGATGGTGGTGGTATGGCAGCGTGGTAGCATGGATGTGGTAGTGCAGTGGTGCGGTTAGATGGTGGTGGTATGGCAGTGTGGTAGCGTGGTTGTGGTAGTGCGGTGGTGTGGTTGGATGGTGGTGGTATAGCAGTGTGGTAGCGTGGTTATGGTAGTACAGTGGTATGGTTGGATGGTGGTGGTATGGCAGTGTGGTAGCATGGTTGTGGTAGTGCAATGGTGTGGTTGGATGGTGGTGGTATGGCAGTGTGGTTGTGGTAGTGTGGTGGTGTGGTTGGATGGTGGTGGTATGGCAGTGGTAGTGTGGATGTGGTAGTGCGGTGGTGCAGTTGGATGGAGGTGGTATGGCAGTGTGGTAGCATGGTTAGTGTGGTAGTGTGGTGGTGTGGTTGGATGGAGGTGGTATGGCAGTGTGGTAGCATGGTTGTGGTAGTGCTGTGGTGTGGTTGGATGGTTTGGTATGGCAGTGTGGTAGCATGGTTGTGGTAGTGTGGTGGTATGGCCATGTGGTAGCATGGTTGTGGCAGTGTGGTTGTGTGGCAGTGTGTTGTGGGTTCCTGTAAGAGCAACAGCGTGCGACAAGAATAGAACGACTGCTGGCAACCAGCCCATCTTGTAAACCACCACCACTAACACCACTGCTACCACTACTTCCAACACTACCACCACTTCCAAGACTGCTACCATCACTAATGCCACTTCCAACACTGCTACCACTACTAACACCTCCAACACTGCTACCACTACTAACACTTCCAACACTGCTACCACTACTAACACTTCCAACACTGCTACCACTACTAACACTTCCAACACTGCTACCACTACTAACACTTTCAACACTGCTTCCACCATTTGATGTGGAATACGACTTTTAACCAATTATAAACATAACATCACTATGTCCTCTATAATTCTGTTTAAACAAAAAATACTTGCAGTCGCCATATCCGGCTGGTTCGCTGGTCTGGATGTTCAAGCCCTTGATAGATCAGCTTTTGGGAGTTTATATATGATAATCTGGGACCATTTTAGTGAGGTACCACGTGAGCATAATGTGGTGAGACAGCACGAGGCCTGGCCATTTTGATGTAGGTGGCTTGAGCAGACATGATTAGCCTAGAATGAGGTAGGGTATGGGAAATGTATACTGATAGTGTATGTAAGGGCTGGGCATCAGGGAGATTATATAAGGAAGCACAGACACTCCAGAGTTTACTCAGAACCTCACTGACATTCTTACATTGTTTGTCAGACTCATGGTCTGATACTGTGATGGAAATAGTAAGTAACCACATTTGTTGTATTCTCTAGTATTTGTTCTTATGTAAGTTAACTGTTCCTATGTAGTTTTTTGACCATTATGGGTTCAGGTGTACTGTGTATCCCTGCAACTGGTGATTCTTTTTTTTATAAATAATATGACAATAGTTATCATGTACTGTACCCTTTCTCCCACAGTGTTGGATGGTCTTTATGGGTTTATCCTGACCCCATTGGGAGTACCCACATGTGTGTATCTGCCAAGATGCAGATCATGTGGGTGGTGGCAGCACTAAGTAGTAAGGCAAGTAGCAAAATGGATGACCACATGATATATGAATGTCAGTGTAACATATACACCACTCCTTCAGAGTGCAGGCATTACTTCTCACCTCTAGAACTTAAGAATGGCTAACTAATTTCCTTAAATGCCTGTTCACTCTCCAACAAAACATCAAAACCTTAAATATTCTTGTCTCCACTCAACCTGATTTATCATGCTCATGCATGCCTGCTGGATCTTCAAGCTCCTACTATTTAAAACTAAGTTCCTCCCTCCAACCCTTCCTGGGACGACCTCCTATGCCTCCTTCCTTCCACCCTGAATTTATACACTATCTTGTTTATCCTATTCTGTTCCATCCTTTTTACATACATCTGCTTGTGTGCATGTATGAATGTATGCAGTACAATTGCAGACAAACGATCTTAACAATGCAAGACAAGCCACATGGGATGGAAATCTTCAGCTAAAGACCTTTCACACATCTCTGTGCATCATCACGAGCTATGCAATGCTGCAAGAACAGCAACAAGTGGGATGAGGGGGAAGTTTCCTCAGAGTAAGATACTGTGTGAGCGTGTTAGATAGGAGTGAATGGAGACGAATGGTTTTGGGGGACTTGAGGAGCTGTTCAAGTGTGAGAAGGGTAATATTTTGTTAAGGGATTTAGGGAAACCTGTTAGCCAGACTTGAGTCCTGGATTATTATTATTATAATCATGGGGGAGTGCTAAACCCATAGGATTATACAGCACAAGTGGGGGGGGGGGGGATGGGAGGCATTCAGGCTCAATGCAGGGAACTGGAGCACAGATCCAATTCCCTAGATCAAGAGCCCCTCACCAGCATCAAGGAACCTCCTTTGAGGGGCCCCTTGAGTCCTGGAAATGGGAAGTATAATGCCTGCACTTTAAAAGAGGGGTTTGAGATATTGGCAATTTGGAGGGACACCTAAACTGTCATAACTGAGCACCTCTGCAAAGACAGTGATTATGTATAAATGATGGTAAAAGTGTTGAATGATGATGAAAGTTATATCTTTCTTTTTGGGTCACCCTGCCTCGGTGGGAAACAGCCGATTTGTTAAAAAAATAAATAAATGAATAGAGTAATAGTGCCTGTCATTTATGTACTATATATCACTAAGATTAGAATATTGCAGACCTTAATGACAGTAACTGATTAAAGGACCTCCATGTATTGACTCTTAAGGAAGTCTTCCATTTCTCATGCAAGTCAGACATTGTTTGGATTGCCACTACAATGCTATATTAACAAACATTTGGGAAAACAAGGATATGAAAACAATGCAGTTTTAAACAAAAGTTTATTTGAAATATATTACACATACTAAACTGAGTCTAGTCTTCAGAACCCTAAATGTGTTAAACCATGTTGCACATTACACAAATAACATACACATAGGAGAGAGGAGCTTACAATGACGCAAGTTCCTCTGAAATGTTGTCCTAAGCTCCTCTGTCCTATGTGCAGGATAATTTGTGTATTGTTCCAGTCATGGTATTGTGCCTTTTTGTTCATGTTGCACATCATGTTATGCTGAAAAGTATTGAATTCTTATTAGAAGTACAAGCCTAAAGGGCAGAACTCTTGAATCCAGTTGCAGGTACATGAGAGATACTGTTGATTGGTTCATTTATTAGGTTTAAAGTTTATTAACTACAAGGGTATATAAGCTGCATGTTACCTATAAACCCCCATTCAATGATACATTAACCCCTAAAGTAGGGATCAAAGTGAACTCCCAGCAAATATACACACCACTTGGTGTATATACCCTTCTAAGAGCTACTTTACAAGTCAAAATATTACAACTAGCAATGCTGCAGTCTTCATATGTCCTCTTCGCCTTGATCCAGTTCACGATAATACCCTTTTTCTTCCGAGTAAGTGATGTTGCCAGGTGGCACCACGAAGTAGTCCTCGAGAGTCTCTTGTGCACAAGCTAGCAGCTCCTCACTCAAGTCACCAGAATGTACTTCATCTTCTGCAAGTGGCAAAGACCTGAAGGGTACAAAGTAAAGCTTAAAGACCATAAGAATAAAGGAGCACTGTAGTAGGTTGATTGACCCATGCTAGACAGGTCCTCAAACCCAACCCTTCACGATCATATATCTGTCTAATCTGTTTTAAAAGCTAATCAACCTTTGTAAAACTACCTATGCTTAATATTCTTTATTTTGAATTGAGGGAACTAAAAGGTAAATGTTGATGCATATTATAATTAAACTTGTAGGGAGACACATAAAAGGTACAGGGTGATACTTAATACAATTAGTGTGAAATTGAAATGATATATTTACTTTACAGTATATATTCATACTGTCTCTCATTCCATCACATCATTCTTTCACACACAAATTTGGGACTTGATATGTTTGATTTTGTTTCGTCTGGCTATCAGAATTTTCAGCAGCTTTAAGATAAAGCTGTAATATATGGTTGCATACAAGGGTATATATTTCAGCATCTGAGAAATGTGAGGTACTGTAATTAAGTTCAATCCAAGGAAGAAAAGGGTAGCTTCAATTTCTTGGTCAAGAGCACTTCATCAACATTAAAAAAAACGTTCCCTTAAGGAGTGCACATGAGAAAAATCATGGAAACAAAGTGATATGTAATTATTTTCTTATCAAATTTGCATGAACTAATGTGTTCTCACTGTCCTTGTTTCTCTTAGCAGCCTTCAAACAGAAATCATTCCTCTAATTCATACAGTATGCACTGGAAAAGAAAGAAAGATTATGAGTACTGAACTTACAGTCCATAAAAAATGTGTAGAATAGGGGAGGATATGACTGAAATGTACAACTGGTAAACAGAAATAAATAAATTAAATATAAATAAGGTGATGAAAATATCTGAAAAGGACAAGACTTGCAACAATAGCTTCAAGGTGGATAAATTTTAACCCTTTGACTTTCGCAAGCCCCTTTCTGAAACTGTCATTCTATATTGCAAAAGTTTTGGAAAAAAAAAATTGTTTTTTCTTATGAAATGATAGAGAATCTTTTCCCGATGGTAATGACACCAAAAGTATGAAATTTGGTCGAAAACTCACGGAATTACGCTCCCACGAAAGTTATCGGTCTCGGCGACATATACACATCGGCAATTTCGCCGACTTTGAGCCCTGTTTTTGGCCAATTCCGTTGTTCCAGTTGACCAAACTCATAGCTATTTCTTTAGAACTCCATTTTTTCTATCAGCTGAGTACAAGAAACTGCCCATTTACCAATTTGAACTACCCAATAAAGTGGTCAGAAATTGGCAATTTGGCCAATTTCATGCAAATTAGAAAAGATGCCAATTTCAAAATAGGGTCCAGAATAAACAATGTAGACATTCTTAGCACTAAAATAACATATCCTTTGTTCATTAGTCATGTCTCTAGGCCCCTCTTATATTACTATTACTTTCTATTTTGATTTTTTATTCATACAAAAAAATACAAAATTTACTGTTATGCAGACTAATGCATTATTGTAAAAATGGTATAAATAATATCAGTGCACTAGTGAAAGAATATTAGACTCCCCAGTTGATGTGTATTGGACATGTGGTGTAATTTGCTTACTCGTGAACATTGGTAAAAATTGAACATTTCCGCTACTTTGAGCTCAATTTCAAGGTCGTTTTCATGGTGAAAGTAATGAAAATCATCTCTATTTCTGTAATATGTTTTCCATTTTATCACCTGAGACCATGAAAACGAGAATACAACGATAAATACTATACAAAAATACACCTCAAAGTCAGCGTTTTAATCCCAAAAAAAATCAGTTTTTTTTTTCTCATTATGCACTGCGTGCTGCAGGATTTTTTTTATGTGGTGCACACTGACCACACAGACCCATTCTCTCACATGTGGGCCTACCAGCTTTCTCCTGCTTGATTTGAAGCTGCTAGAATTTACGCGTATAAATACGTCAGAAACAGTGGCGCATAAGATGTATATATACGACGTAAACAGTCAAAGGGTTAAATTTAGAAAGGCTATAAGAAGCAATGGTTTGGCAATAGGATAGATAGTGGAACACACTGTTAAGCATAGTAATGCCAGTGAAGCAAATACTATATGTACTTTGTCTAATTTTAAGCTACCCGAATTATAGTAATATTATACTTTGGGCAGCTTAAAATTAGATTAGACAAACATACGATGGAAGTAAATGGTATAAAATACCGACACAATGGAAAAATGAACTCATAAGCAGTATAATGTGATCCCTTTATTGACAATGTTTCGCCCACACAGTGGGCTTTATCAAGTCACAAACAGATGTACCTGGGTGAGAAGTTGTGACTTGATAAAGCCCACCGTGTGGGCGAAACGTCAATAAAGGATCACATTATACTGCTTATGTGTTTATTTTTCCAGAAAATACACAAGTGAGAACACTTGTGTGATTAAGACATGCTTAGCATAGGCCCTACTTCAGTATGCCTCTATTTTTTCTACGACTTCAGCACATTTCAGCTGTTCCTTAATAAATATTGATAAGCTACTTACTCTCGTTAAATAAGAGGACACAAATGCAACTAATGTGACATTTTATTGTGGCAACGTTTCACTCTCCAGGAGCTTTATCAAGCTGTTACAAAAAATACATGGACACAAAGGGTATATCTAGGCTTAGTTATGTGTAAAACTAGAGGTAGTAGTAGTAGTAATATTAGCTGTAGTAGTAGTAATACAATAAGGTAGAACAATCGACTTGCACATGAGTAAAGGTTATAAAAGTTATCACTTGGGTAGCATAAAAAATAATTTAGACAAATATTTCTGTAGGTCCTAGGTTGGTAGACAGCAACTACCCAGGGAGGTACTACCGTCCTGTCAAGTGAGTGTAAAACGGAAACCTGTAATTGTTTTACATGATGGTAGGATTGCTGGTGTCTTTTTTCTGTCTCATAAACATGGAAGATTTTAGGTACGTCTTGCTACTTCTTCTTACACTTAGGTCACACTACACATACATGTACAAGCATATATATATATATATATATATACACACACCCCTCTGGGTTTTCTTCTATTTTCTTACTAGTTCTTGTTCTTGTTTATTTCCTGTTATCTCCATGGGGAAGTGGATCAGAATTCTTCCTCCGTAAGCCATGCGTGTTGTAAGAGGCGACTAAAATGCCGGGAGCAAGGGGCTAGTAACCCCTTCCTGTAAAAATTACTAAATTTAAAAAGAGAAACTTTTGTTTTTCTTTTTGGGCCACCCTGCCTCGGTGGGATACAACAGGTTTGTTGAAAGAAGAAGATTTCTGTAGGTGGTTGGATTTGAGAAGGTCTGTTTCAGTGTTTCCTCCTCTGTTATGTTCTTGTATAGTATTAGCAGCAGAAACTGTGATGGCAGGCTTTACTGATTTGAGGAGGATTTTTGCTAATACAGTCGACCCCCGGCATTCGATGGCATCAGTATACGTTAAATCCGGTATACGATACATTTTAACGCAAAAATTTTGCCTCGTCACTCGTTAAAAAACCCGCCACACGCGATTCATCCAGGATGAGTCCACATGTGGCCTGAACTGCCCCATGCGTGCCAGTGTTTACAAGCCAGCCAGTGTGCTCGCATCTAAGCATACATTCGGTACATTCCATATTATCACAGTGTTTTTGGTGCTTGTTTCTGCAAAATAAGTCACCATGGGCCCCAAGAAAGCTTCTAGTGCCAACCCTTCGAGAAAAAGGGTGCTAATGACTATTGAAATGAAGAAAAAAATAACTGCAAAGTACGAAAGTGGAATGCGTGTGTCGGAGCTGGCCAGGTTGTATACAAAACCCCAATCAACCATCGCTACTATAGTGGCCAGGAAAACGGCAATCAAGGAAGCTGTTCTTGCAAAAGGTGCATGTCTGTTTTCGAAACAACTTCGACACTCTCCCCTCCTCCCATCCCATCAATCATAACCAGATCTTCATTAACCCTTTCAGGGTCCATGGCCAAAATCTGAAGTGGTGCCCCAGTGTCCAAGAATTTTCAAAAAAAAAAATTTTATTTTTTTCTTATGAAATGGTAGAGAATCTTTTTGTGAATGTAATAAAACAAAAAGTACGAAATTTGATGGAAAATTGACGAAATTATGCTCTCGTGAATTTTGATGTGTCAGCGATATTTACGAATCGGCGATTTTGCCGACTTTGACTCCCATTTTAGGCCAATTACATTATTCCAGTCGACCAAATTCTCAGCTATTTCACTAGTATTACTTCTATTCTATCGATTGAGCACAAGAAATGGCCAAGTCAACTGTTTCAACTACAAAATAAAGTGACCGGAAATTGGTAATTTGGCCAATTTAACACAAAGTTCAAAATATTCCAGTTTCAAAATAGGGTCCAGAATAAACAATGTAGGTATTCCTGGCACTAAACTAACATTTCCTCTGTTCATTAGTTATGTTTTGAGGCTTTACAAATAAATTCCATTTTGATTTTTTATTCACATAATGAATTTTTATTCACACCAAAAAATAGAAGATTTACTGTTATGCAATATTGTAATAATTGTATAAATATCATCACCACATTTGTGAATGTATATTAACCCACCAGCTGGCTGTGTATTAGAGTGTGAGGTCGTTTGTTTACTCTTGAACATCGGCAAAAATTTAACATTTCCGCCACTTTGAGATCAATTTCAAGCCATTTCCAGTGCTAACACCAATCAAAATTATCTCTATTTCTGTAATATGTCTTCCATTCTATCAAATGAGACCAAGAATCACAAATACAACTATAAAAAACATACGAAAAAACACTGCAAAGTCGCTGTTTTAATCGAAAATCATGGTCTCAGTTTTTTTCTCTCATTATACACAGTGTGCTGCAGGATTTGTTTTATGTGGTGCACACATACCACATAGATGTATTCTCTCATATCTAGGCCCAAATTTACCACTCACAGTTTATCAGAGTGAGCTGAGCTCATGACGTAGATCTACGGTTTGGACCCTGAACGTAAAGCCGTTGATCTACGGGACGGACCCTGAAAGGGTTAAAGGTAAGTGTCATGTATTCTATGTTAGCAGAGTACTACTAACTGTGCATGTCTTCTTCAGTTTGTGTGCATTAAACTTAATATTTCATGTGGTAAAACTTTTTTTTCATAGTACTTTTGGGTGTCTTGCATGGATTAATTTGATTTCCATTATTTCTTATGGGGAAAATTAATTCGCCTTCCAATAATTTTGGCATACGATGAGCTCTCAGGAACGGATTAGTATCATATACCGGGGGTCCACTGTACTTCAGAGATGATGAAGCTGCCTTTATTTTGCTTGATTGTGTTAGAAACAGTGATTAACGATGATTCAAGGCATTTATGTCAGTGGAAATTAGGCTCTCTGATCACTAGTCGGGCATCATTGAATTTCATGAGTTGATTGGTGGAATTCTGGTGTTGTACGCAGGCGTTGTTCAAGTTATCAGTCCTACATGCATTAACCCTTTCAGGGTCTAGAGGCCAAATTTCAAAGTGTGCACCAGGGTCCAAGAATTTTCAAAAAATAATTTTGTTATTTTTTCTTATGAAATGGTAGAGAATCTTTTTCTGAATGTAATAAAACAAAAAGTACGAAATTTGATGAAAAATTGACAAAATTATGCTCTTGCGAATTTTGATGTGTCGCGATATTTACGCATCAGCGGTTTTGCCGATTTTGACTCCCATTTTAGGCCAATTACCGTATTCCAGTCAGCCAAATTCTTAGCTATTTCACTAGTATTACTTCTATTCTATCAATTGAGCACAAGAAATCGCCAAGTCAACTGTTTCGACAACAAAATAAAGTGACAGGAAATTGGTAATTTGCCAATTTAGTGCAAAGTTCAAAAATATTCCAATTTCAAAATAGGGTCCAGAATAAACAATGCAGGCATTCCTGGCACTAAAGTAACATTTCCTCTGTTCATTAGCTACATTTTCAGGCTTTACAAATGAATTCCATTTTGATTTTTTATTCACATAATGAATTTTTATTCAAACCAAAAAATAGAAGATTTACTGTTATGCAATACTGTAATAATTGTATAAATATCACCACATTTGTGAACGTATATTAGACCCACCAGCTGTTATGTATTAGACTTGTAAGGTCATTTGTTTACTCTTGAACATCGGCAAAAGTTTAACATTTCCGCTACTTTGAGCTCAGTTTCAAGCCATTTCAAGTAATAAAACCAATCAAAATCATCTCTATTTCTGTAGTATATCTTCCATTCTATCAAATGAGACCAAGAAATTGCAAATACAACTATAAAAACATACGAAAAAAAACACCGGAAAGTCGGTTTTAATCGAAAATTATGGTCTCAGATTATTTTCTTTCATTATGCACTGTGTGCAGCAGGATTTGTTTTATGTGGTGCACACATACCAAATAGATGTATTCTCTCATATCTAGTCCCAAATTTACTGCTCACAGCTTATCAGAGTGAGCTGAGCTCATGGCGTAGATCTACGGTTTGGACCCTGAACATAAAGCCGTAGAGCTACGGCACGGACCCTGAAAGGGTTAATGTGTTCACTGAGGCATGTTTCGAGGTTCCTTGCTGTTCCACCTACATATATCTTGTTACAGCCTCCACAAGGTATAGTGTATACTCCTGCATTGACTGGTTCATGGTGGTTCGATTTTGCCCTGGTTAGATCCCTTATGGAAGTGCTGGATGTGATGGCGACTCTAGTGTTAGTTTGTGTGAGTACCTTGGAAACATTCAATGCAACCTGGCTGTTGGGAAGGATGATAACTTTGTTAGGAGTGGTGTTGGTGCATGGAGAACTGATGATTTGAAGAGCTCTTTTCTTGCAGCTTCATCATCTCTGAAGTATTAGCAAAACTCCTCCTCAAATCAGTAAACCCTGCCATCACATAGTCTCTGCAACTTATACTATACAAGAACATAACAAAGGAGGAACACTGAGACACCCCTAATTCTACTACTTATTCTCCTTTGAACTACAGTATTTCAGAATCCTCTTAGGAATGTGTGAGTGGGAAGGTTTTTACAATTAGCCATATCCCAACAAGGCAGGGTGACCTAAAAAGAAAAACAGGTTTAATAATTTGTACAGGAAAAGGGATTACTAGCCCCTTGCTCACAATTAGCTATATTACATAAATTTTTTCACATACCTATCCTCAAGTACAGTAATCATGGGCTCCACACCCTCTGTGTTCACCACACACAGCTGATCGGCCATGCTGGAAAAACAATTTTATTCTATTATTCAAAAATCATTCTTAGATTCATGGAAAGAGCTAAACCCATAAGAGTCATTGAGTGCTACAAGCAGAGGTGAAAGATGGTAGAGATGAAGCAGTGGGTGCTGAGAGAAAGACATCAACAGAAAGGAGGGGAATCACAACTGCAGTAACACACTAATGTCAGTTAAGAAATCAAAGAGCGAAATCTACAAAAAGGTGAGACCACAACACAGGAGGGGTGTATTTTCCTTAGTGTAAGTAAGTAAGTTTATTCAGGTATACACAAATACAGCTACATAGATTATCATACATAGCAGCATATGTGTAAAGTACCTAGGATAACCCAAAAAAGTCAGACAGAGTGACTTATTTCCATTGGGGTCCTTTGACCTTATTATTATAATATAAAGGTTATATCTTATTATTATTATATAATGGAGATAACATCTTATTATCATACTAAAAAGACTATCTACTACACGAGGGTCATTAAGACTTTCTACAATACGAGGGTCATTACCAGGAATAAGGTAAAATTACACGTGTGTTAGCTAAAAAATAATAAAAATCATTCCCCCCCTTTCTGTAGCTACATTCATCAGACACCTTTTGGCTCTCTTCTTGAACTGGTTCATGCTATGACTGGCTTTGACATGTGTGGGCAGTCTGTTTCATTCCTTTATTGCTGTGCAATAAAAGGTATTTGAAGCCTGGCCACTGACTGTGGGTGCTACAAAGTTGTATTCTCTCCCCCTAATACTATGATTGCCTTGGTTCCCAGCCTTGACAAAATTGGCAGCAAGATATTCTGGACACTGTTTGTGAGCAATTTATAATTTATAATTATTTTCCAGTGCATATGGATATGCATATGCACTGGATATGCATATTTATATGCACAGGAAAATTATTTTGTATGGCAAAAAACTGAACTGTCACTCACAAATTCTCACAAAATTAACACCCTGAGATATCTCACAGCTTTCAACCATACAAAGAATAAAGACTTAATTAGAAATGAGGTGCAATAGTGAAGATATTTCCCTGCTCTACCGCTAAAATTACAGGGAGAAAATTAAAGAACTCATGGAGTTGGCCCTTAAGTTGTTCAGCTATTTTCTTTTTTTTCAACATGCTAGCCATCTCTCACCAAGGCAAGGTGACCTGAAAAAGAAGCACTTTCACCATCATTTACACTATCACTGTTTTGCCAGAGGCAAGCAGATGTGACAGTTTAGATGTCCCTCTAAACAACAAATATCCCAAACCTCTCAGCTAATTATTCTTAGTGTATCCATGGGGAAGCACTAAACCTGAAGACTCATACAGTGCCTGGAAATGGGAGGGATAGGGATGACCAGATTTGATTAAGGGAATGAAGGAAGGAAGAAGGTTGCGTATCTCCAATTTATTGGATTAAGAGCCCTTCACCAGTATCAAGGTATCTTTTCCTTGAAGGAAAACTTAGATAAGAAATGCATATTTGAAACAAACAGCAGCCCTCCAGCTACTTCTGATAATTATGCTGGTACACCCTATTTTTACTGTCCCTTTATATGCTGCTTCAATGTATTTCTGGCAGTGTAATCTAACTACCCCATAAATATTATTAAATCATTACAAATTCTAAACCCATAAAAGTTACTCAGTGCTGATACTCCCACATGTAGAGTTTGCTCTTATTCAATTCAATTCAAAGTTTATTCTCTATAAGGATTACAATGCTGAGTTTACAGAATTTGGTTATTGTGTGGTTTACATGTAGTAAAATAATGATTACAGAGTGTACCACTAGAATACCTAGCATGGCTAGGCATTTCGGGCAGACTTAGTTTAATTCTTAATTTTAAAATATTACAAATTATGAGGTAAGTTGGTATTATGGCTAAGTGACTAAATACTAGTTTGTGAGTTTAGCAATGTGAATGCTTTTGTTTTGGCACAGTACATAGTTTCAGTACTGGAGTATCACAGGATTCATTATTTTAAGATTGAGATTAATATTTCTGTTCATGGTCAAATGGGTGAGTGAGTGTAAGTGTGAACCACCAGGTGGTATTCGTGTAGTTAGTTGACGGGGTGTATCAGGGAGATAAGATGTTTTCTAATGGTAGTTTTGAAGGAGATAAATGTGTCTGCAGTTCTAGAGTTCTCAGGTAGGGTGTTCCAGATTTTAGGGCCTTTGACATACATTGAATTTTTGTAAAGATTTAGTCGGACACGGGGAATGTCATAGAGATGTTTGTGTCTGGTGTTATGCCTGTGGGTTCTGTCACAACTATCAAGAAAGCATTTTAGGTCAAGGTTGATATTGGAGTTTAAGGTCCTGTAGATGTAGATTGCACAGTGGTAAGTGTGGATGTACTGAACAGGGAGTAAGTTTAGATCTATGAAGAGTGGGGAGGTGTTTTTGCCAGGGATGGGATTTAGTGATTATTCTTACTGCAGCTTTTTTTAGGGTTATTATTGGCTTTAGATGTGTTGCTGCAGTTGATCCCCAAGCACAAATAGCATAGGTGAGGTATGGATAAATAAGTGAGTGGTATAGTGTGAGAAGGGCATTTTGCGGCACGTAGTATCGTATCTTGGAGAGGATCCCAACCGTTTTGGATACTTTTTTGGTTATGTGTTGGATATGGGTGCTGAAATTCAGGTTGTTGTCAAGGTATAGGCCTAGGAATTTGCCCTCATTATGTCTGGTAATTAGAGTGTTGTCGATCTTAATGTTAATTTGTGCATCTCCTGCTCTGCTACCAAACATAATATATAGTAGGTTTTGTCAGTGTTAAGCGTAAGTTTATTGGCTGTCATCCGAGTCGATATTTTGATCAGCTCCTCGTTAACAATGGTGTTGAGGGTGGCAAGATTAGGGTGAGAGATGACATAAGTCGTGTCGTCAGCAAAGAGAATGGGTTTCAGGTGTTGGGATATGTTTGGAAGATCATTGATGTATACGAGGAAGAGCAGGGGACCAAGGACACTTCCCTACAGAACTCCAGTATCAAGTGGCTGTGTTGTTGATGCTGTGTCTTTAATGGTGACATACTGATACCTATTAGTAAGGTAAGATTTGAAATAAGCAAGCGCATGGCCTCTTATACTGTAATGGTCAAGTTTGTGGAGTAGGATGTCGTGGTCTACTGTGTCAAAAGCTTTTCTTAGGTCAATAAAAATTCCTAGTGGATATTCCTTATTTTCCAATGCTGTGTAAAGCAGATCTAGCATTTTTATGATTGCATCATTAGTGCTTTTATTTTTCCTGAATCCAAATTGGCAGGGGTTGAGTATGTTTTGTGCCGTTATAAATGAATATAGTCTCCTGTGCACGAGTTTCTCAAAGATTTTGGATAGCAATGGTAAGTTTGATATTGGCCTATAGTTGTTTAAGTCTGTAGGGTCACCACCTTTATGTATTGGTGTAACCCTTGCCATCTTGAGTAGTTTCAGGAAGGTGCTAGTTTCTAGTGACGTGTTAAAAAGTAATGAAATAGCATGCGAAAGGACATGGGCCACTCGCTTGTACAGTAATGGTGGGACATGAAACAGATTCCCTGAGTTATTTTTAAGTGACTTTATAATCTCGGTGACTTCCGTGGGCTCAGTTGGTGCAAGATAGAAGGAATTTGGGAAATTCCCATCTAGGTAGTCCCCGGCATGGGCATTGGTATGTGGGATTTTATTGGCGAGATTAGATCCTATGGTTGAGAAAAGTTGTTTATCTTGTTAGCTGTGTCAGTGGGATGTAGTGGTGTTTCATTAGGTTTAGTTAGGACAATATTCTTGTTTTTTTCAGTTTGTGGGTCCCTAGAATCCGAGAGAGTGTTTTCCAGGTCTTTTTTATATCTCCTCTAGTGTCTGTGAATCTACTGGAGTAGTATAGTTGTTTGGCTGTCTTCATTACTTTGGTGAGAACTGATGAATAGTGTTTAAGAATATCTTTGTGTATTAAGCCCTGTCTATATTGCTTTTCATATTGGTGTTTCTTGTCAATGGATTTCAGAATGGTGGTTAGCCATGGACAACCAAGCCGTCTGTTTGTGATCCGTTTCGTTTTTATAGGACAATGTTTGTTGTATAGTCTAAGTAATTTGTTAAGAAAAATGTCTGTCCAGTCATCAATACCACTGGCCTTGGAGAATTCTGTAGGCCAGTCAACAGTCTCTCGGTCAGCTGTGAACTTCCTTATTGAAGCCTCGTCATGGAGTCTAAATGAGACTTTGTTGTATTCAAGTGGTGGTTTACTAATGTTTGTCAGGAGGAAGGTAGGGTAGTGGTCTGTAGTGCTATCTGTGATTATCTCTGATTTAAGGGGGGCTAGTATATTGGTTCATATATGGTGTATTATGGTTGCACTTGTCTCAGTGAGCCTGGTTGGTTTAATTATTGTTGGTATGAGAAATGTGTTGTTCATATTGTTGATGAAATCAGTTACAGGCTGATCATCTAGTATGCCAAGGTTGAGTTGAAGTCTCCAGCTAAGAGAAGGTGGTGCTTATTCATTTGTCTGTTTGTTATTAGTGACTTTAATTTCTCACTGAAATTTGGGATGTTTGTGTGAGGTATCCGGTAAATGGCACCGATTGTTATAGGTGTCTTAAGGTTTTTTACAGTAAAATTAGCAAAAATGTATTCCCCATATTCCTCACTAAAGCAAGTGGTGCTAATACAAGATAATTGGTTAGAGTAATAGATTGCAATACCACCCCCAACTTGGTTTGGTCTGCAGTTGTGAATTGCTGTGTATCCTGGTAGAGGGTAGATATCTATTGTGTCCTGCTTAAGCCAGGTCTCAGTAAGAATAATGCAGGAGAAGGGTGTCTTTAGTGATTCATGGAGTGCCAGGAGGTCATCATAGTGTTTGCTTAAGGACCTGATATTGTAGTTAAGTACTGATAGACTTTTAGCATTGTTTAGGATAGTGCTGGCTTGTGATGCTGTGTAATAAAGGCAGTTACTTTCCAATAGGTTTTGATTGGGTGTCAGATTATGGAGGTTTAGATCAGGGTCAACGTGATCAATCATCTTCTAGGTTTAAATTGTGGTTATTTATATCCTGAGTTGTGTGTTGAGTTCTAGTACTGATATCTGTAGTGGTGGGAAGTTTGGACAAGTATATAGCTAGAGTATTTTGGTCATATAGAGTAAGTCACTATTACACATAATGAAGTTGATGTTGTCTATGTGTTGTGCTGGAATGAACTAAAGCACAACTAGGTATAAACTAGTAATATAAAAATACAATGAAGTCCAATGAAAGTTTTGTCCACAAAGTCCAACCTTTCTCATACTCCATTTACCTCTTACTCATACTGTAGCTATCACTCAATAATGATCTGACATAACAGTTGCTCTTCTAAACTCATACACATACAAAAATCTACCATCATCCTTTTATTCACTGATACATAATCTGGCAAATTGCTGTCATAGTGCACTATATGTCCTGGAATCTTATTTATCCTTTTTTTCTTAAAATAAGCATTACAGATATTATTAAAATTCTTTCTATACATAATTCATAGAGGCCCCCATTCTCATTTAACCTGGCACTCCAAACTTACCTGCTCTACCCTCTGCAACAATCTCTACCACTTAAGCATTTAGGTTACCCACAAATGGTATCACAGTGCGTACACTATGGCAATCATTAACAATATATGATATATAACAAGGGCAACACAGCTTCTCCTCACTTAGCAATGTACTTGTTTACCGACGACTCGGACTTACGATGGGTTACTGACCAGTATGCATACCTAAATACTATAATGTATATTATAGCTGATTTCCTCTATTCTGTTTATTACAATATATAGTACACTATTGTTTAAACATTTAAAAATATACTAAAAATGTTATAAATGGTGCAAAGGTGACATTAAAACAACATCAAAGATGGTTGACACACCCACTACCATTATAGTATGCTCCTAGCTTACCAGCAAATTTGTTTGCTAATGTAGTCTTAGGAACGGAACTCAGTCGTCAAGGGAGGAGAGGCTGTATACTATTTGACAAAAGCAAAAGGTTGTGCCTCATACCTTATTGCAGCCTCCAACCGGGTAAGACCTTCCTTGTTTACAAAATCAACGAGTGATAGTTTTTCTAGCCGCTGCACTAGTTGAAGATCCACTTCTGTCTTTGGTGGGAGATCTTCATTGATACTAGGACTAACTGGGTGTTGTGGCACTTTTGACCTCTCTGTAAATAATAGAATTAACAGAAAAAAAAGTCATAGTTCTAAGCAATGACAGGCAAAACTGGGAAAGCTTATAGGTTTAAAACCAAAAAAAATTGCATTTACATACTGTACTGTAGATATACAGTGGACCCCCGCATAACGATATTATTTCAATCCAGAAGTCTGTTTGGGTGCCGTTATAGACCGAATTTGTTCCCATAAGAAATATTGTGAATTAGATTAGTCCGTTTCAGACCCCTAAAAATACACCTACAAAAGCAGTTACAAAAATACTTACAAAATTGGTCGAGTTGGGAGCTGATCGTTATGCGGGGGTCCACTGTACTGAAATATCTTTTTTTTTTTTTTTGAGAGAGAGAAAATAGGAAGTGCATCTGTCTCGAACTCAGAGGATGGAGGATCAAGCCTCCATCACGTCTTGAGCTGAATGACCCACTTGGGTTTAGTACTTAATAAGAGCTAAAAACAAAATGATGCAAAGACAAAAATGCATTGGCCATCACTTGTCCTTTAGCTTCCTTTCTAGAAGGGCACAGACATCGTGACCCAATACAGTGGACCCTCGACCAGCGATGGCATCGATTAACGATAAATCTGACTAGCGATACATTTTATCGCAAAAATTTTGCCTCGATTAGCGCTAAAAAACTCGACCAACACTATTCGTTCCATCTGAGACGCGTCCACTTCTGGCCAGTGTTTACAAGCTAGCCAGCCACCGCGGTCGCTTCCAAGCATACAATCGGAACATTTCATATTATCACAGCCTTTTTAGTGATTGCACCTGCAAAGTAAGTCACCATGGGCCCCAAGAAAGCTTCTAGTGCCAACCCTACAGCAAAAAGGGTGAGAATTACTATGGATATGAAGAAAGAGATCATTGCTAAGTATGAAAGTGGAGTGCATGTCTCCAAGCTGGCCAGGCTGTACACAAAACCCCAATCAACCATCGCTACTATTGTGGCCAAGAAAACGGCAATCAAGGAAGCTGTTCTTGCCAAAGGTGCAACTATGTTTTCGAAACTGAGATCGCAAGTGATAGAAGATGTTGAGAGACTGTTATTGGTATGGATAAACGAAAAACAGATAGCAGGAGATAACATCTCTCAAGCGATCATATGTGAAAAGGCTAGGAAGTTGCATGACGATTTAATTAGAAAAATGCCAGCAACTAGTGGTGATGTGAGTGAATTTAAGGCCAGCAAAGGTTGGTTTGAGAGATTTAAGAATCGTAGTGGCATACATAGTGTGATAAGGCATGGTGAGGCTGCCAGTTTGGACCAAAAAGCAGCTGAAAAATATGTGCAGGAATTCAAGGAGTACATAGACAGTGAAGGACTGAAACCTGAACAAGTGTTTAATGGTGACACTGACAATGTTGTGAAACACTTTAGGAATGTCATAAAGGAACGGGAGGTACAGGCCTCTATGGGCAGATATGTTGTGCGACAGAGGTCCAGTGACTCTCAAGCTGGTCCTAATGGCATTAAAAGAAGAAGGGAAGTAACCCCGAAAAAGGACTTGCCACCTCAAGTCCTAATGGAAGGGGATTCCCCTTCTAAACACTAAGACCATCAACACACTCCCCTCTTCCCATCCCATCAATCATCACCAGATCTTCAATAAAGGTAAGTGTCATGTAACTGTGCATGTCTTCTTCAGTTTGTGTGTATTAAAATTAATATTTCATGTGTTAAAATTTTTTTTTTCAATACTTTTGGGTGTCTTGCACGGATTAATTTGATATCCATTATTTCTTATGGGGAAAATTAACTTGACTAACGATTATTCTGACTAACGATGAGCTCTCAGGAACGGATTAATAGCGTTAGTCGAGGGTCCACTGTACTTTCCTCATCTTAAAAACTTTATTACACATTTCTTGCATCCTACTTTTATGCTAAACTACATTTTTTTAATTTATGCCCCTAATAATATTTTTTACAGACTTTCATTCAACAATGCTATTTTTTTTTTCATTCATGGAGGTCATAAAGAGATCATACAGCACCTGCAGAATGGAAGGCAATCAGATTCAAGCCAGGAAAACAGAGGATAGCTTCAATTTCTTATATCAAGAGCCCTTCAGTGGCATTAACCCTTAAACTGTCCAAACACAGATCTACGTTCATGTGCGTAGTGCTCCGACCTTGATTTTCCCCATTTGAAAGCATGTAAAAAAACGCAGACCTACATTCAGAGCCCCCCGTACATGGACGTAGATCTACGTTTCGACAGTTTAAGGATTAAGGCACTCCTTATTAAAGGTATGTAATCATTTAGCTCTCCTCTTTTCCTTTCAAACTCTCCTGCCCCCTTTTAATTTGATTCACCCAGTGCTACGTCTTCTCTATGGGGAAGTGAAAAAGAATTCTTCCTCCGTAAGCCATGCGTGTCATAAGAGGCGACTAAAATACAAGAGGTAAGGGGCTAGTAACCCCTTCTCCTGTGTAAATTAGTAAATGAAAAAAGGACAATTTTTGTTTCTTCTTTTTTGGGTCAGCCTGCCTCAGTGGGAGACATCTGGTGTGTTAAAAAAAAGAAAAGTAGTGTACCATACTGGTAAATTCCAATTAAAACCCGCTTTAGATACAAAAATAAACATTTACAGCATTCAATATATTTTGCTGCTTCAACTGAGGAACTCTTTAGAAAAGTGCTGAAGAGGGCCTTAGCTGAGGGCAAAACACAATCAGATTTTTGCTTTCATTTCCAAAGTAAATTTTAATTGGAATCCAAAATATGGCTACTCAAAATATATTTCTTTTGTGCAAATGTAGTGCTCATTAACCTTGCTTAGCAGTAACAAAAGCTGGCTGGCTTGTCACATTAGAAAAATTGATCCTTGCAGAGAGCTTCCTCCAAGTGTATCTCAGTAGACCTTGTCGCAGACAGGCTACCTCCATCTCTGGGATTTCCAGCACTCTGAAATGTAATAGAAAAAGCATTATTAGTTCATTGTACCCATATGTTTGGAAAACTATTATGGAACATTAAAAAATACATAAATGCCAGAATTAACCAACAGAATTCTTAAACATGGCTGTACCCAATGGTTAAGAATGCGATAAACTATCTAAAAATCTTTTTTTTTTTTTTTAAGATGCAAGTGCAGAGCAGCTTATATTGTGACGATATTTCCCTACGTTTATATAAAGCTCTATATATAGCAAAATGTAGTCACAATGCAAGCTGACTTGGCTCATGTGTCTTTTCTTTATTAATGTCAGCAGTAAGTCTTTTTTATCCAATATCATTTATAGCCACTCATATCTGTGCCTAAATAAGAGAAAATATACAATTCCCTGGCTAACTGTATATAGTCATTACAGATACACAAAGGTAGTAGGTTGGTAGACAGCAACCACCCAGGGAAGTACTACCGTCCTGCCAGATGACTGTGAAACAAAAACCTGTAATTGTTTTGCATGATGGTAGGATTGCTGGTTTCTTTTTCTGTCTCATAAACACGCTAAGATAACAGGGATATCTTGTACTCCTACTAACACTTTGGTCACACTTCACAGACACGAAAATGCATATATATATATACATACATCTAGGTTTTTCTCCTTTTTCTAAATAGCTCTTGTTCTTTTTTATTTCTTCTATTGTCCATGGGGAAGTGGAAAAGAATCTTTCCTCCGTAAGCCATGCGTGTCGTATGAGGCGACTAAAATGCCGGGAGCAATGGGCTAGTAACCCCCTTTCCGTATACAATTACTAAAAAAGGAAGAAGAAAAACTTTATAAAACTGGGTTGCTTAAATGTGCGTGGATGTAGTGCGGGGTGACAAGAAACAGATGATTGCTGATGTTATGAATGAAAAGAAGTTGGATGTCCTGGCCCTAAGCGAAACAAAGTGAAGGGGGTAGGAGAGTTTCAGTGGGGGGAAATAAAAAGGGATTAAATCTGGAGTATCTGAGGAGTTAGAGCAAAGGAAGGGGTAGCAGTAATGTTAAATGATCAGTTATGGAAGGAGAAAAGAGAATATGAATGTGTAAAATTCAAGAATTATGTGGATTAAAAATAAAGGTGGATGCGAGAAGTGGGTCATATAGCGTGTATGCACTGGAGAAGAGAGGAATGCAGAGGAGAGAGAGAGTTTTTGGGAGATGTTAAGTGAATGTATGGGACCTTTGAACCAAGTGGAGAGAAATTGTGGTGGGGATTTTGAAGCTAAAGTAGGAGAAACTTTTAGAGAGGGGTGGTAGGTAAATTTTGGGGTCCCAGGTGTAAAGATAAGGGGGACCCCTTTGTTTGAATTTGATAGAAAGGGGGTTTTGGTTTGGTAATACTTTTTTTTAAAGAAAAGAGGAAAATAAGTATACACAATGATGTAGGCGAAATGCGTAGTTTGTTGGTTATTATTGGAGAAAAAAAGATGTTGGTAACTTAGGTGTAATGTTTTATAGAGGGGCCACAGATATACAAAAACACTTTCTAGTTGTAGCTAACGAGAGAAAAAAGGTAGATGGGATACAAAGGAGAATAGAAGCACAGGGAAGAGAGAGGTAAAGGGTTTAAAAACTAAAAGAGGAGGGTTGGGGTAAGATTAAACATATTGGGGGATAGATGGGCAAATGAGAGCATGGGGCAATGGGGCGAAGAGGTAGGGGGTATTTTAAAAAATTAGTTTTAGAGGTTCAGAGAATTTTGTGGTTACGGGAAGTGGGTGCAGGGGGGAGGAGCGATTGGGGGAATGATGATTAAAGGGGTTTGAAGGGGAGAAAAATTTTGCATTAGAATTTTTTTAAAGAGAATGATCAAGGAGGGAAGAGTATATGGAGAAAAAGAAGAGGTTAAGAGGTGGTGAAGCAATGTAAAAAGAAGCAAATGAAGAGGGGGTGAGATTTTATCAAAAAATTTTTTTAAAAAAAGAAAAAGTTTTGGGTGAGTTTAAACAATTTAAAAAACCTAGAAAAAAATGGATTTGCAGTTAAAAAATAGGAGAGGAGGTTATTAAATGGGAAGTTAGAGGTTTTGGGGAAGATGGAAGGGAAATATTTTGGGGAAAATTGTTAAATGTTGTGAAAAGGGAAGTGTATTTCGGTTGGGCAAGGGGAAAAATTTTGTGGGAGTGGGAAAGACCCGTTGTGAGTGTGGGGAATTTCGGAGGCAGGGGTAAAAAAAAAGGGGGTAAGGCAGCGGGATTGTTGGAAAGAAGAAATTTTTAAAAGAGGGGGGATATAGTTTTGGGGTGGTTGGTGAAATTTGTTTAAAAAATTTTGGGAAAAGAGGGTAAGGTACCGGGATTGGCAGAGAGCAGAATTTCCTTTGTATAAAGGAAAAGGGGGGATAAAAGAGAGGCAAAAATTTGGGGGATAAGTCTTTTTTGGTGTACCTGAAAAGTGTTGGTTTTGGGTTAAAATTGAAAGTTAAGAGTAAAAGGGAGAATAGGATGCGGGTGAACGGGAGGTTTTAGGAAAGGTGGGGGGTGTGGGACCAGGTGTTTACAGTGAAAATAAAATGACAAATTTAGATAGGCAAAAGAGGTCTTTGTGGCATTTATGGTTTGGAAAAGGCTTTATGAAGGGTGGATGGGGGGCAATGTGGCAGATTTGCAAGGTAGGTGTGGGGGTAGGTTACTGAAAGAGGAAGAGTTTTTACGAGGATAGTGAGCTCAAGTTAGAGAAGTAGGAAAGGGGGAAAATTTTTTCCCAGTGTGGCCCTTGACAAGGATTTGATTACCGGGGGGTTGTTTAAATATATTTATAGAGGGGGTTTAAGGAAAAAATCGATCGGGCAAGACGGGGATTAAAATAAAGAATCAACACAAGGGGGAGTTTCACAACTTTTTTTAGCATTGCTTTTTAATATTAAAAATTTCAAAATGGGGGATAATTTGGGGGGTGCAAAGAAAGAAAATTTTAAATGAATCGGGGAAAGAAAAGGTTATGGGATAACAAAAAGATTGGTAAAAATTAAAATCAATTGGGGGAGAGGATTGGGGGAGGTGAACGTATTAGATATTGGGGGTAGGCAGGGGATGGGTCATGAAAGATGGGGGAATCATGAAATTTATGAGGGAAAAAAAAGTGAGTGGTGCCTTAGGAGTCTTGGGGACAAAGAACTTTGTCCCCTTGGAGGCAAAAAGGGGAAGTATGAGAGTTATAGTTTTTCCAAAAACCCCTTTTTAGGGTGTGAAACGTGGGTGATGAATGTTCAGCGAGGAAAGGGGGGAGGGAGTGGAGATTCATGTCGAGGGCAATGTGTGGTGTGAAAAAAGCAGAGAATTGTAGTTTTGGGAAATTAGGAGGAGGGGCGGTTTTACCAAAACTGTTGTCCAAGGGGGTGAGGAAGGGTTTTTAGGTGGTTCGGACATGTAGAGAGAAAGGAGCGAAACAGAAAAAGACTTCAAAAGGGGTATCGTCGTAGTGGAAGGAAGGCGGGGTAGGGGTCGGCCTAGGAAAAGGGTTGGGGGGAGGGGGGAAAGGAGGTTTTGGTGGAGGGGCTTGGCTTCCAGAGGATGCTTGAGCTGTTTGATAGGAGTGAATGGAGACAAAGGTTTTTAATACTTGACGTGCTGTTGGGGTGAGCAAAATAACATTTAGAAGGGTTCGGGGGAAAACCCGGGAGGCCGGGGCTTGAGTCCTGGAGTGGGAAGTACGTGCCCGCACTCTGAAGGGGGGGGTGTTAATGTTAGTTTTTTAAAAAAGTAGTGTAAAGCACCCTTCTGGCAAGCCCCCCCCGGAGGAGTGAAGATGGTGAAAGTTTTTCTTTTTCGGGCCACCCTGCCTTGTGGGAATCGGCCGGTTGGAAATTTAAAAAAAAAAATTTAAAAAAGATAACCCCAAAGGGAACATTTTGTGTGCTTAATCTAGAATAGTTCTATATTCCCAGGTAAAAGAAAACCTTTTAAAAACCAAATGTAAATAAGAATGTATATAGTACGGGACCCCCCCTAACGTTACCCCGAATGGACCCAAATTATGAAGTGTTTTAGTAGGGCTTTGTCGGGATGTTTGGGGGTCTGAAATGGAAAATTTTTCAAATATTTCTTAGGGAACAAATTTTGGGCATTTTTGGGACCTGAAAATATTCTGGGTGAAAAAATACGTTTTTAAACCGGGGGCTACTGTATTAGATTTTTTATTGGGAAAAATTCATCTCAGACTTTATTAGTCCAATACAGGGAGGGAAAACAGGGCTTATACCATATAGTGAAAACAGGGAAACTACACGGGGGAGGAAAAAGTCTGGTGCAGTGGGGGGTGGCTTTCTGTTCATCTAATTAGATCCGGAAGCGAGAATTAATTTAAAATGAAATTTCTGAGATACATAAAAAAAACTGTTTTGGGAGTATTATGATAGCTTTTGTAAAAATTACAGTAAAGTTTGTGTAGATTTTTTCCTGAGTATATTGGCCCTTTTCAAAAACCCCCTTGAGTGATTGTGGATTTTTGGTGGATAATGCTTTTTCTGTCATCCCATGTACAGCCTTCTCCTCACTTACCGTACTCGTTTACCGACAACTGGGGCTTACGTAGCTCTCTGATTTGTGTGCATACCTAAAAAGTATATTAGAGTGATTTCCCCTATTGTTTATTAGAATACATAGTACACTTTGCTCCCCTTAGCAATGAATTTTTTTTACGCGTTTGGCTTTGGAACGGAACTCTTTTAAGAGGGGAGGCTGGTGGTGTTCTCCTGCACGTTTCCCCCAACCCTTTTAAGAGTTTCTCCCACGTATACCCCACATCCCTTTAAACAGGGTTTCAAATACGCTGCTTTAGATTCTGTGAGTTGATGTTTCTTTTTTATTATATTCCTTAATTTTAGTAGACTCATGGCGAATATGTTTTTGTTACTCTGGTGAGTATTTAGTGAGAATCTTCTTTTTTGAATCAATGTCACTTAGCAGTTGATGAGGTCCCAGAATGTTTAAGATGTACTTACCTGATGAAGCGCAGGAGTTTCAAGAGATGTTTGACTAGTGTACCCGTCAAGGTTTCCTGTAGCTCGGGTAGAGCGTATGTGTTGAGTGTCTGTGGTTTGATCCCTGGTCCAGGTGGAAACACTGGGTGTGTTTCCTTAATACACCTGCTTCCCTGTTCACCTAGCAGTAAGTAGGTACTTGGGTGTTAGCCGACTGATGTGGGTTGCATCCTGGGGACAAAATTAACCTAAGTTGATCAAAATGCTCTGCATAACCAGGGACTTTCTATACAGTATGTCATTCATGTCAGCTAGGTCTGTATAAGTTGTATCATGTACTTGTAGAAATAAAGATTATTATTTTTTTTTTTTTTTTATTATCACACCGGCCGATTCCCACCAAGGCAGGGTGGCCCGAAAAAGAAAAACTTTCACCATCATTCACTCCATCACTGTCTTGCCAGAAGGGTGCTTTACACTACAGTTTTTAAACTGCAACATTAACACCCCTCCTTCAGAGTGCAGGCACTGTACTTCCCATCTCCAGGACTCAAGTCCGGCCTGCCGGTTTCCCTGAATCCCTTCATAAATGTTACTTTGCTCACACTCCAACAGCACGTCAAGTATTAAAAACCATTTGTCTCCATTCACTCCTATCAAACACGCTCACGCATGCCTGCTGGAAGTCCAAGCCCCTCGCACACAAAACCTCCTTTACCCCCTCCCTCCAACCCTTCCTAGGCCGACCCCTACCCCGCCTTCCTTCCACTACAGACTGATACACTCTTGAAGTCATTCTGTTATTAATGCCTGAAGTAATAGGTCTTAAGGAAATATCTGACTTTTAGGTTTTAAGTAGTCCATACATATGGACAGGTGTGGGGTTACTGGGCAAAAATTCCCAAAAAGGATTTAAAATCATCTACCTTGTTTAGACATCTGTAAAAAAATAACATATAATAAAGAAAAATAAATTATATTAATCGTTATAACATGTTACACATCAAAACTAGTAGAATATGTTATGATAACTTAACCTAGGACATCAGAACACTTATAAAAATAATTAATACATGCTTACCTACACCTATCATAATTAACATATACTAGTGATATTATGATTAATATAGGCCAATAATTTATGATGATTATTCCATGTCTCCTGTAAATGCTGTAACAGAAGAGAGATATTCCTGAATGTCAGTCCTCGATACAACTCGCATTACAGGGGTTATAGTACCTAGGAAATGGGAGGTTTGATCCAAGGAAAATGAGGGTTGCACCGGTTCCTTGGAGTCCTTCAGCATCATCAAGGAATTTATATAATAAATATTAATAACAGTAATATAGTTTAGGAGACAGGAAAAAGACAGTAAATTTATTTAGGTATAATTACAGATACGGTAAATACAAATACACAAGTTTTAGGTGGTAACAATTATCTTAAATAGTAACATGTATGCAAATTACCCATGAGGATAACCTAACTCAGTCAAAGTGATTTATGTCCTGCTGCTAGTAAGTTTATTCAGGCATACACAAATACAGTTACATAGATTATCATACATAGCAGCATATGTATAGAGAACCTGGGATAACCCCAAAAAATCAAAGTGACTGATTTCCATTGGGGTCCTTTAACTCCAGTCTACTTCAATTTGTCGGCATCATATACATGGTTTTTACCTGTAAATAGGTGACTGCAGGTTAGCCGGTTGTAGTAGGTCACTTTACAGGAAAGAACCTTGGAAGGAACCTAAGAACCCAACGGAAATAAGCCACAATACTACTTCTTGGGGGTTTACAGGGCCGTTGACAGCTAACGCCGTATCTTTGTTGGGTTTATCAGGGCCAGTGACAGCATAAGCCATTAACGCCGTATCCAGCCCTGCCTTCTGGGTGCTGTTGTTAAGGTAGTTTATTCAGGTAAGATAAGATAAGATAAGATTTCGTTCGGATTTTTAACCCCGGAGGGTTAGCCACCCAGGATAACCCAAGGTCAGTGCGTCATCGAGGACTGTCTAACTTATTTCCATTGGGGTCCTTAATCTTGTCCCCCAGGATGCGACCCACACCAGTCGACTAACACCCAGGTACCTATTTGCTGCTAGGTGAACAGGACAATAGGTGTAAGGAAACGTGTCAGAATTTCCACCCGCCGGGAATCGAACCCGGGCCCTCCGTGTGTGAAGCGGGAGTTTTAGCCACCAGACCACCGGGCCACAAATAGTTACATAGATTATCATACATATCAGCATATGTGTAGAGAACCTGGGATAACCCAAAAAAGTCAAGAGTGACTGTTGGGGGTTCAAAAGGGCCCCACTTTTTGGACATCCCTCGTGCCCGTCTCGCCATGAAAAAATGCAATGCAAAAAAGGGCCCAAAGATCGGGAAATTTTCAGTACTTAAACCCGGGTTTAAAGGACCCCCTGACTACTTTTTAAATTTAGGATTTTGTTTTTAAAATCATTTTCCCCCTCTCAATCCAAAACCCAAACCCAACCAAAAAAAATTTTCTGATCATTTTTGAAGAAAACTTTTAAAAATTTATTTTATTATTTGACCTCAAAGTTATTAACATCTGCCAAACCCAGGGAAAATTTTTCTGTTTTTGAACCATTAATTGCAATATTTTTTTTTAAAATAATGGGGGAAAAGTGCTGTCAGGGGATGGTCAGGGCTCACGAACAAAAAGCGAGTGTGCAAAAGGGTATGGCTCGGAAACCCAAGTGGCGTTCCCACGGGGAATCAGTTTTGGGCCCCCGTTGTTTTTTCCCAAAATATACATAATTAGACACATGTGCTTTTGCAGCTTTTAGGGGCCCCAAAAGGCCTCAAAAGCTGTAAATGCCCCCCAAAGCCCCCAAATTTAAAACCTCAAAACTCTACAAACCCCCAAATTTCGCCCTTTGATAATTTTCTTCTCTACTCCCTCTCTTGCGTTTTAAAACAAATTACTTAAGTGCCCCGTGTCCAGAACAAGGCGCTGCGTGGGTGTTTTGATGTCAGAGGGGAGGATTTCCCCCAAAAAGAAAATATCCCCATCCCCAATTAAAACCATCCCTGCGTGAATCTGTTGGGGGGGACGTTTAAAGTAAACACAGATAGATGAACTTGAGACACGCATGCTACTGGCCCTCTCTTTCCTTGCGAAAAATTTTCGCAGACCCACAAACCGACAAACCTCTTCTATCCTTGTATGATCCTGCTCTAAACCCCTATCACAAATAACTTTGGTTTCTCTGAAAGGTCCCTTTTTTCCCCCAAATTGCATTAGGGTTGGCTGGGTTAAGCCAAAAGGGTCAATTTACACTCTCCCGGCTAATTTTCGCCCTTTTCCCGTCCTCCCCCATCACCCCCCCGGAAAATCCCAACACTTTAAAAATGCCCAAAAACTATCAAAGCCAGATAGAAAACATTTCCTTTTAAAAAGTGGGAAAAAACCACCGGGGTTATTATCAATACTCCTCCTCACAGTACTCAAAAAATGACTCTCCCCCAGAGGGTCGTGTTTTATCCATAAAGGGTGATTACCATTTGACCCATTATATTGAGGGAACCTCCCTGAAAGAAGAAAATTGGGTAACACCCGAACCCTTCTATGTGTACTGAGAAAAAAAATCGCCCCCAAATTTGGGGGAAACTTATATTAAACAAATTTAAATTTAAAAAATTTTGCTATTTACTATGGCTGGCACCACCTGTAAGAAGCCAAATTTTCACGTAAATTTTTAAAAGGGGCCCGGGGGAAAATATTGCCCTTTATTGTTGCATAAAATCCGTTGTGCAACCCCAAAAAAAAAACAATTTTCAAAATTTTATAATTTACCAAATTCGGGAGTCAAAGTACTTAATATTGTTATATCTATGTGTTTCTGAAAAGGGTTAGTATTATTTCCCCTTTAAAAAAATATCTTATCATTTTACATTCTCTTTTTAAATTTCACCAAAGTGGTTGAGCCCCCTTACCTTTTTAAAAATTTTCCCACCCCTCTCCCCCCTCCACCCTTTTTCCCAATTTTTTCTTCCTTTTCCCATCCTTTTTTCCTTACCCAAACTTACCAAAAAATTGGTCATAAAAAGAAGAGTCCCAAAGAAGAGCCGGTATGTCTGTTCTTAATGTCTGTCCCACGATCGCCCTTTGGGGTTATTTCTACGACTAAGAAACCCCTCCTCTCCGAGCTTTTTCTCCGTCTTTTTCCCGTCTTCCCCCCTTTTTCCCCTTGGGATCTTACCTGAACTTGTTCGGTTCGTTCGTTCGTTCCTATGCTTAATTTCCCACAAGAGTGATGGACTGAACAATTTCTACTTTGTTTTGGGGGCTGTTTAAGCCCCTGTGTGACGAAAAAGTTTCCCCAGTAAAGATTCCCATTTTGGCAATTTTAAAAACAAAATTTCAGTATTAAAAGTGATCCTTTTTTGAATACGTTTTTTGCCCAACCCCCAGTGGGCTTTTTTAAGGGCACAAAAAAGAACTAACCCGGGGGGGAAGGGAAAAGCGAAATTTTTATAAATCCCGGCCCGAGGTTTAGGGAAGAATGCTGGGATCTGATGATTTTTACCGAGTTGGGTTGTGAGTCTAAAAAAATTTTGGGGAGTTGGGGAAAGGGGGAAATGGACAAGTTTGTGAGCAGACCCTTTTACAGTGTTTCTTTGTGGGATAGCGATGAAGAAGTTTCTTTGGGAAGTGGTTCAGTATGTTATAGAAGCCACTATTCGGTTTAAATTGCGGATATAGAAAAAAGTGAGATTCCAGGTTCTTCGGTATTGAGTGTTTTCTTTGGGCGATAAGTCTTGGTTTTGTAGTTTATCAAATGGTTTTGAATTCGGTGTTGACGAGGATTTCCCTTGTGTGTCAGACCGCTTGCGTATTGGTGTTTGAAAACGTGTTTGGAGGTCCCTTGATGTTTCCCACGAAACTTTTTGCGTCATTAAAGGGATTATGTATACCCCTGCAGGGTGGAGGCTTGTCTGCCTACTATGGTGATGTCCTTGATGGGGCGTGGTTGTGGAGGTAGATATTGGAATGATGTTTTGGCAAAGAGTTGGAAAAAAATGTTTGGCAATGGATTTTGGGGGGAAGGAATGTTCTCTTCCGGCAGTGTTTCTCTGGGTGTGTTGAAAATGTTTTGTGCCGCCCTCTGCAGTCTCGATGAAAGTGACGAGGTAGTGGAGTTTGGAAAATACCTTTTTTTTAATTATAGTGCATTCTTCCTCAAGGAAAAATCGTTGCTGCAGATTCTGAGTGCACGTAGGAAAAAGCCTATAATTACACCACGTTTGGTTTTGGTGTCGTGGGGGGAGGTGGGAATTGGAAGATGTTTTGGGGTGGGGTTTTGGGAATTGGATTTAAAAGGCCCATTGTTTCCTTCTGGCATTTTAAAAAACCCCTGGGGGGAAAGAGTTTTGCCGCTATTCTTAAGTGGGAAATGGATTTAAAAATACCGGGTTTTTTTTCCCCTTTAAGGTTTTTCCCCAAAGGAACCGTTTGGAGTTCGAGGGTGGGAAGTGCCAAATTTACACCATTTTGGGTTTTTGGGTTGGTGGGGAGAAAAGGGAAAGTTGGGTTTTTGGTTTGAAGGTTTTTCGAAAAGGTTTTAAACGGTTGTGGCGCCTTTGGGTAGAAATTTTCGGAAAAAGGGTTGGTGATTTTTAAAAAAGGTAACGGAAAAAAGGCCAACCCTTTAGTTTCCTTAAATTAATTGAATTTGGGTTTAAAATTGCCTTTAACGGGGTTTTTCCCAAAAAAGGAAAAGGGGAGGGGGCTTCTGTTTTTTGGGTAGGTGTTGGGGGGCCCTGGGGAAAAATTCAAAATGGACGGCCCTTTAAAGCCCCCCCGGGCAATACCAATTCCCCCCCTTTGTGAATTTTTCCCCTTCCGGGGTTTCCTGGAAATTTTCGGGGCCCCAACCCCCCCGCCCCCGGTCAACCGGGGCCTCCGGGTTTTGCCCCTATCCGGTTTTGGTTGGGTTTGGCCTGGGGGAAAACCCCCCCCAACTTTACGAGCCAAAACCCCCCCGGCCCTGATCGGGGGAAAATGCCTTTAGGTGTTGTCCATTTGCCAGCTTGAAGATTGCCGGGGGTCTGGGGGGAAATCCCCCCTTATGGGGTTGGGGGCAGTTAAACAGTCCCCGGTTTTCCCCTGACACTTATTTAGGGTCTTTTAAAAGTGTAGGGGGCCCACCCCTGTTTTTCTTTGGGGGGGTTGGTGCTCGTCTCCCAAAGTTTTTCCCTTTCGTAGTGAGTGATTTTCGTTTTTTTTTGAAAGTTGGGTTTACTAGTCCCTCTGGGGTTTTTCCAGGTGTAAAAAAATCATGTACCCTTCTCCCTCCTGCTTTTCCAGGGAAAATTTCCCGGGGTTTGGGAAACCTAAAGCGCCCCATTTAATTGAGGTGTTTTATCTCGTTTGCCCCGCCGGGGAAAGTTCTATTACATTTTCTAGGTCGGCAATTTCACTCCCCTGCCTTGAAAGGTGGTTAGAGTCCCCGCAATATTCCAGCCTAGATAGAAAAAGTGCCTGAAGGGGTTTCTTTATGGGCTTGGCCCCCCTAGTTTTAAAGGGTTTTCTCATTACCCAAATCCTGTCATTTTTCTAGCAAAATGGGCATTGATAAAATTGTTTTATGCCCTTGAAGGTGAGTTCCTCGACATAATCACTCCCAGGTTTTTGGACTTTGGTGTTTCGCTCTTTTTTGGGGCCCAAAAATTTGGGTTTTGTACTCTGAGGGAAAAATTTAAATTTTCCCTTTCATGTTTAATATCGGGAGTAATTGAAATTTTCATCGTTGAACTTCATATTGTTTTTGCAGCCCACTAAAAGTTTTGGTTGATGTCCCCCTGGGGGCCTTGGCATTTGTTTTGGAAAATGG